GATTCACATCATCATCCAGCTCAGAAATCCCCTCTTATCAAGATGCTCATACATCGGGCTAAAACAGTGTCAGATGGTGAAAGTCTAGTGAGAGAGATCAAACACGTTAAAGACGCACTACGACAGAATGGCTACAATAATGCTCAAATTAACAGAGCACTGAATGCCAAATCACGATCGCAAAGCAATACTGCTGAAAGCGATCAGATTGTTAAAACAATAAAAATTCCATATATCTCAGGAGTAATATAACGTAACATCAGCGTAAGACTAAAAGAACATCAGAGAAATATTAAAGTATCTCAAACACAACTGTCGGCAGTGGCAGAACATGCTTGTCAACAAGGACACTCAATTGATTTTAATGTTGCAGTGTTGTGTAAAACTAATTATTACTGGCAAAGACTAATTAGAGAATCCATTGAAATTGAGAGGACTAAAAATAACTTTAAATCGCTCTGACAGCTACAGGCTTAGTGCGACCTGGAAGCGTATTATTAAATAATACACATTACAATTCCTTATAGGGGAAACACATCCTAATTAACGGATTACTAACATAGCATATAATCACTAACACACATTACAACTAATTACTAATCTACAACTCATTACTAATCATAACCATTGACTGATTACTAATCGATTATATAATTACAATACCCCCCCTCCACCTCAAATCACTGCACCTGATATGAGTTAAATGATGACGTCACCCTGCTGCTCTATTTAAAACCGGGAGCAAGCGAGGGCTTTACCATTCTGGCGAATTGCCCGATGATGCTGGATGTAATTACCAGCGAAACGTCGTACTCAAACTGTAAATGTTGTGGATTCACTCTTCAACACACCGGTGGGCTAAAGTAGTGAATTATTTGTCTTTTGTCAACGTGACACTTTTTTTGCTGATTGGCCGTGTCGGGTGGTGGAGGGTTACGACACATTTATAAATAACGCGATCTAACCCAAAAACCTTTATTATGAATAATATTGGTCGCGAAAGCCTACGTGTTAAACTGATGGGTGTATCTGTTCATTGCGGGACTTTAAGAAGCATTGTCTGCAAGCTCGTTTATGTTCTTATACTACTGGGAATGCTGTTATGTTGGGATTGCCGTTATAATACTGTAAATGCCTTTATAATGCTGTTCAATTATGTTGAATATGGTGCCTAGTTAACAACGAAGCCTGCCACTTGCATTATTGCGAATGTTATTTGTAGTTGGATAAGTCGAGCCAGACTTATGCGCATGTAACTTTAATGTGTTCTTGAGAGCAAGGATGAAGTATCTCATGCAAAGTTCAGTGTTATATGCAGCACTGTACATTTAGTCTGCAGTATGGTGATTACATAAAGTGACCTTATTTAACACAGTTGCTTACTCTCTTGTTGTATAGCTAGTCAGTACCATTTACCTGATATACTGAGACGTGATTTAAAGCTTTCGTGACTGCAGTAATTCATATTCTTAGCTCTTTCGGTAAAGTCACGTTGAAGGGAAACAATATAATATATAAAACAATAAAAATTCTCACGACGTTTCGACCATAACGCAAACGGTAATCATCATCAGGTGCGTTATGGTCGAAACGTCGTGAGAATTTTTATTGTTTTATATATATTTTATTGTTTTATTGTTTCCCTTCAACGTGACTTTACCGAAAGAGCTAAGAATATACTGAGACGTGTTAAATCGTGCATTTTAAGGTGCATAATTATTATGTAGATTTATATAGTGCCTTCACCAAGGCACTTTACAGAAATGATCAAATTGTACACAAGATGATAATGGTTTGAGATGAGGAGTGGTGTTATTAAAAGTGGTGGTGTGTAGTTTTAGTGACAGTAGAACAGGCGGGGATGGTTGGGGTAGGCCTGGTCATATCTGCGGGGCGGATAAGTATTGAGGCATCGGATTAGGAAGACAAAGGGGGATGGCCACGGGTGGGGACTGGGAAGTGGAAGAGGGCCTCTGCGAGCGAGTCCCCTGCACCGCAGACGACGTTCACGTCCGTGCAGCATAGCAGCAGATCCCCGGCTGGACCCACGGCGATGAAGAGCGTGCAGCGCCGACACGGAAAAGACTCCCCCGGCAGGAGCCCGGTCGCAGGTCCCTCCCATGCCGGGGGCCGCACGAAGCCTCGATGCCCTTGGGTAGCCGTAGCCCAGGCGGCTGCGCGGCCCAGCGAAGGAGCCGCCCGACACTGGCGACGGAGCGGCTCAGCGAGCAATTGCCGGCGGCCAGGCCGCCAAGAGGATGCCAGGTGGACGCGGGAGTAGGCAGGGGACACAAAGGGGCGGGGGTTGCACCTCAAACCAAAACAAGGGCGTCACCAAAATAAATAAAACTAAATTAAACTAGGTCGTTGGGAGGTGCCTGCGGCACCCCCCAACAACCACAGCGTGCAGCACCCCCCAACAACCACAGCCTGCGGCACCCCCCAACAACCACAGCCTGCGGCACCCCCCAACAACCACAGCCTGCGGCACCCCCCAACAACCACAGCCTGCGGCACCCCCCAACAACCACAGCGTGCAGCACCCCCCAACAACCACAGCCTGCGGCACCCCCCAACAACCACAGCCTGCGGCACCCCCCAACAACCACAGCCTGCGGCACCCCCCAACAACCACAGCCTGCGGCGCACCCCAACAACCACAGCGTGCAGCACCCCCCAACAACCACAGCCTGCGGCACCCCCCAACAACCACAGCCTGCGGCACCCCCCAACAACCACAGCCTGCGGCACCCCCCAACAACCACAGCCTGCGGCGCACCCCAACAACCACAGCCTGCGGCGGCCCCCAAAAGGCTGGTCAAGTAAATCCTTACGATGCACTCGCACAGCGTGTGATGGGCCTTAATCCAGCAGTGGATTTAAGCACCAAAAAAACTCGAGTACTAATGCAATTAGAACCGTGTGCATTGTCAGATTTAATTCTTAAAGACCTCACCTTCAACTACTTATTAACTTAATGTCTTGAGACACGATCGGATGTACGGCTGATAGTGAATTACGATGAAACTAAAAAACGCGAACGGCTTTGCTGTACTTGAGGATTTTCAATAAGTCGAATAAGCGTGGCTTTTCGCGGCTTTCACTTAACACTTTCACTCTACGTGCCTTTTTGGACCATCCCGCGATGGAACTTTAATGGGAATGAATGAAAAAGTAATTAAAGTTTAGTTGTGATATTGACATTCACTTCTAAGAGCTATGACTTATTAATGAGTGAAAGAACTGTTAGAATTATTTGGAAGCTCTTAAGGGGTCTTATGAAGTGGTGGGGGGGGGGTCCCCCTCCCCCTCAGCCCCCACTCCTGGGGTGTCAGTCCTCCAGTCAGGGGGGAGAGGTGTGGAAGGCTCTTACCTCAAGGGGTCTTATGGAGGGGTGGGGGGTTTCCCCTCCCCCTCAGCCCCCACCCCTGTTGGACCCTGAGCGTGCTGGCAGATGAGCTGGCCACAGCGCCTTATTAGGGCGCACATCACCTTGGGGGCGTACATGTTTGGGATGGGCGCACCTCTGGTTGGCTGTTGCTCGCGGTCACGTGACGCACTTCAACCAATCCGGGGGCGTACATGTTTGGGGGGGCGTACATGTTTTGGAGGGTCGCACCTCTAGTTGGCTGCTTGCTCGCGGTTACGTGACGCACTTCAACCAATCCGTGCCGCGTTAATCAGTCACAGAGTGACAGAATGACAGAGCTGGGTGTTTAGATATATGTATAGTTGTTGAGGGGGAAGAGAGGCGAGTGTAGAGATTGAGCTGATTGTTCTTCCTGCCAGCTAGCGTCGTGCTTCTGCCATCCTGCTTCCAAAGTAAAGTCACCCATAGCCCAGTGGTGCTGGCTCAGTATTGGAGAGTTGTTGGCTTCTGTAATGCAATGCCATACATATTAAATTCAACAATTCTACGAGAAATGTAGATATTTATGTCGAGTTTATTGAGTTTGCAGAGGCAATGTGTAGCTCCTCCATTTAAATATATTTTTGGCCAGGGAAACAGTAGTGTAAATATATGGTGTTTAAAATGTAATTACAAAGGAAACCAATTAATGCATTTTCTGCTTCAAGCATGTCCTACTATGGGCCATTTGTCCAATTCCTATGGAAGAAAAATGTCACACTGGAGCAGGGGTCACCAAACTTGTTTCACAGTGGGCCGGATAACTGAAAGAATGACGAGCGCGGGCCGCATAATAAAAACAAAAAAAATTCTGGAGCGTCGTACCTGTGTTGATAGCTGGGAAATCTTGGGGCGGGAAAGATGCGTGTTTGTGTGTGTTGCCATGGAAACCATTGTAACGTGTTGCCATGACGTTGCCAGGGAAACCATGGCAACGTGTTGCCATGACGTTGCCATGGAAACCATGGTAACGTCAGAGCGTAGGCGGAGCTACCACGAGCCGGGGAAGGACTTGAGATGGCGCGAAATAAGCAAACATTACAACAAACAAGAAAATCTAGATACAATCATTTAAAATAGTAAATTTAAGGCACATAGCAGTCAGGAGGTCTCCGCACGCGTGAAGATCTCCTAGTATTCTAAACATAATATTTAAATTGTATCGCAACGGCTCGTGTTTCATACGTTTTATCAACCAAATTCAAGTACCGTCAGCGGGCCTGATGGACTGACGTCGCGGGCCGAATTCGGCCCGCGGGCCGTAGTTTGGTGACCCCTGCACTGAAAGAACATGCTCAGCTCCAGCTCTTAGATGGAAGGGAGCAGGAGAGCTGCTGTTTGTGTGGAATGTAACCATTGCAGGGAGCGGCAGTGTTGCGGTTAGCACGCTGCACCACGAACCCGGCCACCCGAGTTCGATTCCCACTCACGGCCAACAGTGACGATTATCTGACTCGGTCCTAGGCCTCCCCTAGGTCGATTTAGCCTCAAATTAGTATTTTGAACTTCTTTTCGCACCGTACGTACCCAACCATGCGAATCGGAAATGCGGTGTGTAAACATCGCCATTGGGGAGACAAAGGAGGTTGGGCGTGGTGCTGGCCTTCCCACCCCCTTGTGTGCCCTGCCGGCCATAGATGCTCGCTAACAGCATTTGTCCTAACAGTCTTGAGGCTATACAGGGGATGTGTCTTTGGTGTAACCATAACAGTGCTATATCACGAAGGAGAGTGAACTCGGGTGGACCAAAGGAACATTTGGTGGTGCAGGACCCGCCCCAACACGCACCTAACACCTTGCGCTGTGGAGAAACAAGAGCAGCATGGCATAAAAAAAAACACACCGAGGTCGTATCTCACAAAAGGTTTCAATGTTATGCGATCGACAAACCTGCTCCCCCCCCCCGACCCCATTTGCAGGTGTGGATCCATATCTGTCATCTGGAATTAGCATTCAGATACATTAGAGAATTAACATTCATTGCATATTACCATCAACGTACATTGTTTTTTTAAATTACTTTACATTTTCAATTCAGTTTTACATATACTACCAATAGGAAGGCAAGGAGCTGAGAACTGATGGGGAGAAAATTGTGTTAACTATTATAGTAAACAATACAAAATACTGCACAGTAGCAGAAAATGATACATTTTTCTTCATCTTCTAGCATATGACAAGTCGGTGTAAATTATACATCCGGGGTTAAGCTTGTGAGCCATTGGATAGCTTTGGGAGTAGCACTAATACTGTCCAGTCCAACGGAGAGCAGGCCTAAAATGCAGTTGTTTGTGATGCGGTCCATTGTTTGATTTGAGTGGCCGCAGTTACTGAACTGTGGGTCATATTTACTTTTTCCACTTGAGGAAGAGGTGTACGCAGTCACTGTTCTGAAGTGGTTGATGAAGCCACCACAGTTTTATTGGTAGATCAAAGCCATGCGGAGCAGTGGTGGTGCCCTCGCTGAGGCTATTGTTAGGAACTTCAGTAAAACTCCACAGCATTCGCCAGCGGCCTTCAGTAGATCCCGCTCCGTCCAATATCCAATTGTCTCGCGCAATCCCAGCTTGGTTTCCAGGATCTTGGACGAGTTTGTGGAGGGTCGAGCAGCTCTTGGTGTAATGGGAGGACAATGCTTCCTTGGATTTTTCCAACTTGGCTTGATATCACGGCATCCCTGTGGAAGTTTGCTGGTCCAATGTTGGCCAAAACGGGAAGCCACTCGGTGGGAGTACGTTTCAGTGTGCCCACTATTGTTCTTTGTGAGCAACCCAAATGCTGATACTCCTAATAATAATCCATTCTGTTTGGGTCATAGTCACATTTATACGAATACAGCCAATTTTAAATGGCACAATTGTGCTGATATTTCTTTCCCTATATTCACCATGTACAAAATGTCCGAGTGTAATAAAAGACAAACATGATTGTTTGTCGACATTAGTGCCAACTTGTAACAAGCCAGCTTTCAGACCGTCATTTTTTCTTTCAAACGAACTTGTCAGAACTTCGATCACATCGATGTTCTGAGGTTCCACGAATTTCAACATAAAGTAATCTCCTGCAACTGGAGTCTTTCCCCAGAAGTAGCCACTTTCAGTGCTGTAAGCTTTCTCCGGCCGGTAGTCTTCGAACACCTTGATGCTTGTGTGAAAGGTGGCGGCAGGGTTGTCGGCCACATTTGCGGTACTCTCCTGAAAATCGCCGTCCTTCAATTCATTCCGATTGCCTCTGAAGGATGAGTAGAGGCCCATGTGCTGAAATAACGCCGGCTTGAAATTTATGGGATTGTTTTGTGTTAGAATAACACGGAAGTGTGTCAGAAGCCAATCGCATGGCATCTCCTGGTAGAACAGAAAGAGAAATTGAGCAAGGGTGGGTAGGTCATTACCATGGTAGAGCTTGCCAATGTAGCCCAGTTTGGAGAATTCTAACGTAACCCAATTTTTATTTTTTCGTGAAGCAATTGCCTTCTGAATTGTGGTCAAAAAATTATTTGCACATTTCAAATCATCTTCCAGCATGATGTAGTAGTCAGCAAGGTTGGCACAGAAGCCAATTAGGAATGAGTAATCAAGGTTCTGCTTGGAGCGGAAGCGCACTCGATCCGGAGGGTCATTGTAGTTGGCCTTGAGGCCCTCAAGGGAGGGGTAGATCTCCTCTGGTGCGTGAATCAATAGAAGTCGCTTGGCTAACATATGGCTGGGGAACATCTTCGTAATTAGACGTGCCGTCATCTCGCACCATGCCATGTCAAAGTCGCACAAGTGCACCACTACTACCATCTGCTGAAGTTCCGTTGAGCTTGACTGCTCAAATATGGACCTCAGGGTGTCTATCAAGTATGGCTCATGTTTCCGGTTTACAGAACAAAGGCCAATCGCAAGGAACTCTGAAAGAAAAAAAAACACAGGCACTTACTCAATGAAAATGTGGCATGTGTGTGTTTGAGGTTGAATTTAATACACTACTTTGTAGTTTACAACATATTCTTGGTTCTTTCGGTGAAGTCACGTAGAAGGGAAACAATAAAATAATAAAAAATATGTTTTTATTATTTTACTTTACCGAAAGAACCAATAATATGAATTGCTGCAGTCATGAAAGCTTTAAATCAAAAGTTTACAACATGTAAAAACAGAATCTCTCTAGTCAAACATGGAGTGGTTCTGCTCTGTTATGCTGGGGACGAATCTCTCAAAAATAGACACTGTGGACTTCCTACAAAGTCGTATCTATTTGACCAACCCTGGAGGAATGATGACCTTTATTTTCGCCCGGTGACTGTGTTTGGAACTCACAGCCTCTGCCTTAAGCTGAGCGATCTGCCACATTGCAAATAAATGGTTGAAGAGGTCTATTTAGAATGCTAATAACAAGATCACTTTGAATCCATCAGCCGACAGCTGCATCCAAATGTTCATAGAATACATATTTATTTTTAAATGTAGCAGACAATATTTGAATGGATTGCCTTGTTAAAATAATGCAATTTGGTACCTTGAATTTATGGTCAGAAGTCATCTGCAATGTCAGGCAATAAAGCTATCCAAGTTGATCATCCAGTATTCAAACTTCTGTTGTTTTAGTGTATTACAACAAATAGCAGAGGTGGGTAGGTGGATTTGTTTCATTGTTAAAATACATCACAATATAATGGTGAAATGTACTTCGTTACTAGACATTAGAGATGTCACTATACAGCACTTACCCAAAGAGTCCAACCAAGCCAAAAATATAAATTGCCATCAGTAATTGAATGTATTAGCAAATGGGGAAATAAAATGTCAAAAAAGCAATTACAAATAAAAAAATATGGAACTCAACTCTTTTCTGTTGTAAAGATGTCCTCTGTGATGTTGCTGAATATGAGCCTTGTGGTATTAAACATCAGTATTCGAGAAGTGGCTTTGCCCTCGTGAGGATGTGAAGCTTCAGAGATGATGTCCAGCAGTTCTTGCGTAATCACTGGCGAGTTTCCACGTCTCTAAATCACAAACAATGCATATATTCATAGTGAATACAAAACTGGGAATAACAATTGATCCGAACGCTCAACAACAACTGCAAATGCCCGTCTTTGCAGCCGGAATAATTTTATCACGATGTGCATGGACATATAAAACCGATGTATCAGTGCTCTAATTAAGCCCAGTAACCAGTAGGGAGGTACTCTACTCAAGCAGAAAGGCAACAAATACTGAATATACTTCACCACACATAGTAACTGGATTTGCAGGTGGCACCTGTCTCCAATGGTAGTGTTCACACACCACACCAGGCACTTATTTAATGGAAAGCTGACCTAGTGGAGGGCCTGGACAGATTTGCATATCCATTTGCCACTGATGTTATCATTGGGCCGGCGTCATACTGGGTCACTGGGATCACATCGCAGTGCACCAACTACTACACTGCGCACGTCTTGCTCACCCGTTCTCAGCCACCCCACCATATGCTAGCACTCCACTCGATGTTGCAAGCCACAGTGGAGGCTGCTGGGCAGCTTTTCTTCCAAAGGTCTACGTCCTCAAAACAATTGGCAGTTAAAGGGTTAAGTTATTTTATTTCCACTGCCAACGTTTACCCAGCAATTTCTGCAAGTCACGTGTGGTAGGGTAAAGTGTTGGTGTGTGCCCATCTCTTCCATGATGCCTGGCTAGTGTGGAAAAAGTAGTCTCTCGAGAGCACGTGTGTGCTTGGGTCGGGAACAATCTAGGATTCATGAGCACCATGTGAGACTCCTCATTGTTTTTGGACTATGTATGAATGCTTTCACTATTTTATGAACCTACCGATGTCTTGTATGGCTGCTCCCAGGACAGCACGAACGCCATTAAGAGCACGAGGCTGACGACGATGGTGAAGAGGAGCAGCACGCGGCCGCATTTCCACTGTAGCCTCATGCTCCTTGCAGACCTGCAGACTGCCAGATGTGCAATATGTGCAATCCTCAACGCGTGCATCCATTTCCGATTATGGACATGATCAATTATTTTACCATTTTCAGAAAAAGGATGCTTTAACCTTCAACCTGTATTTGCCGCCAAATAGTAGGTAAAATTAGGCAAGTACATTTCTTATGGCAACTTTCAGAAAAAGGATGCTTTACTTCAACCTGTATTTGGCTCCAAATAGTAGGTAAAATTAGGCAAGTACATTTTATATGGCAACTTTCAGAAAAAGGATGCTTTAACCTTCAACCTGTATTTGGCTCCAAATAGTAGGTAAAATTAGGCAAGTACATTTTTTATGCCAACTTTCAGAAAAAGGATGCTTTAACCTTCAACCTGTATTTGGCTCCAAATAGTAGGTAAAATTAAGCAAGTACATTTTTTATGGCAACTTTCAGAAAAAGGATGCTTTACTTCAACCTGTATTTGGCTCCAAATAGTAGGTAAAATTAGGCAAGTACATTTTTTATGGCAACTTTCAGAAAAAGGATGCTTTAACCTTCAACCTGGATTTGGCTCCAAATAGTAGGTAAAATTAGGCAAGTACATTTTATATGGCAACTTTCAGAAAAAGGATGCTTTAACCTTCAACCTGTATTTGGCTCCAAATAGTAGGTAAAATTAGGCAAGTACATTTTTTATGCCAACTTTCAGAAAAAGGATGCTTTAACCTTCAACCTGTATTTGGCTCCAAATAGTAGGTAAAATTAAGCAAGTACATTTTTTATGGCAACTTTCAGAAAAAGGATGCTTTACTTCAACCTGTATTTGGCTCCAAATAGTAGGTAAAATTAGGCAAGTACATTTTTTATGGCAACTTTCAGAAAAAGGATGCTTTAACCTTCAACCTGGATTTGGCTCCAAATAGTAGGTAAAATTAGGCAAGTACATTTTATATGGCAACTTTCAGAAAAAGGATGCTTTAACCTTCAACCTGTATTTGGCTCCAAATAGTAGGTAAAATTAGGCAAGTACATTTTTTATGCCAACTTTCAGAAAAAGGATGCTTTAACCTTCAACCTGTATTTGGCTCCAAATAGTAGGTAAAATTAAGCAAGTACATTTTTTATGGCAACTTTCAGAAAAAGGATGCTTTACTTCAACCTGTATTTGGCTCCAAATAGTAGGTAAAATTAGGCAAGTACATTTTTTATGGCAACTTTCAGAAAAAGGATGCTTTAACCTTCAACCTGGATTTGGCTCCAAATAGTAGGTAAAATTAGGCAAGTACATTTTTTATGCCAACTTTCAGAAAAAGGATGCTTTAACCTTCAACCTGTATTTGGCTCCAAATAGTAGGTAAAATTAGGCAAGTACATTTTTTATGGCAACTTTCAGAAAAAGTATGCTTTACTTCAACCTGTATTTGACTCCAAATAGTAGGTAAAATTAGGCAAGTACATTTTTTATGGCAACTTACAAGTACAACATTGCATAGCTATGATCCATTTTAAATATAGTTCGAATGTGCGTAGATTGCAATCAGCTCTATTCAATATGTTCTGTGACATTAAATACGTTTGTGAAAATCCCATTTCTCCGAACACACCAACTCCCCTCAGAGGTAGGGCCTGTAAAGTCATTGTTATGAACTTGGAGGGCCGAGGGATATGGGTGGTTCAGGGTCCATGCCAGCTCGTTCCAGCCCTTGGTTATTACGTAGGTTATAATAGTTACCCATTTATGAATGTACTTGCTAAAGAAACTTCCGTTTTCCATTCAGACCAATTGTTGAGTTACAATTTGATTGCAACAGGTTATAAGGGAGTAAAGGTTAAAATATAGTAAAGTAATCCCTCGTAAAGTATTCCCTCGTAATTCATGAACTTGCTATCCACAACTTTGGCTATCTGCGAGGGAAATAAAAGTGATGAGAGATAAAGTGGTTAAATAAAAGAATGAGATACTTTCATATTTATATCATGTTTATTTGTGTTCACCATTGCTTTTCTGTTATAATAATTTGCACGTATTTAATAGCTTATGTGTCTATTTAATGTTGTTCATATCAAAAAGGTTTTCGTAGGACAATATCAGTCACGACATTTGATATTCACAAGCATCTCTGGAACATAATCCTTGCGAATAATTAGGGAATATTGTATTAACACTTGCAGTATGCGACTAACATTTTAAAGCCATTTTGCAGTGAGATCTAAGATTTAAGCCCTGTGAAACACGCTATTGATGCGAGTTATTTTATGTATTAGTTTAGAATACAGCTGTTGTGACCAGTGGCAGAAGTGAGGCCACGGATGAGAGAAAGTTGAGGGACAATGTGGCTAATAATGGGAAGTGATCATGCGTGAAAGGGAATCATTACAAAGGCCTTCTTTTGGGACCAGAGTTGATCAAGAATTGAATATTCTTCCATCTTTCAATTAACCATTTCACTGGTGGGGCATGTTGGGGCTCTTCAACCACCACTTCATACAAATTCTGACACCGATATGTCCTGCATGTTTGTTGTGTGCGTTTACATCTGCCAGCCTGCTTTTTGTTAATGTTGTTAAATTGGAGTAAGTGTAGCATTGAACATTACTCTGAAATACTGTTTGACATTTTGACATAAAACCACTTAAATTAGAACAGGGGTCGGCAAACTCTGCTTCGTGACGTAATGTACATGTGTAGTGACATAGCGGATGTCACTGTGTGGTGCCGGCCCTAAAGGGGCACGGCGTGCGATGTACTCGCATCACGGACATCACGTGTGTAGCGACATCGTGAACGTCACTTAGTAATGCCGGCTCTAGCGAGGCACGGCGTGCGATGCATTGTCATCGCGGACACCCCGTCATCTGAAGCAACGGCAAGAAATGTTTCTTGCCGTTGCTTTTCACACCTGATGACGACCGTTTGTGTTATGGTCGAAACGTCGTGATAATTTTTATTGTTTTATATATTTTATTATTTTATTGTTTCCCTTCAACGTGACTTTACCGAAAGAGCTAAGAATATGAATTACTGCAGTCACGAAAGCTTTAAATCAAAACAAGAGTCCATCTTGAGGGTACCCCAATGGGTTCTCCCTTATCGCCAGTGGTAGCGAATGTTTTCATGGAGACAGATGCCATCCAGACATCCACCCTACTGTACGTCCTTCCTTGTGGAAGAGATACGTAGATGACATGTTCGTCATCTGGCCACATGGCCTGCCAGCACTGAACCAATTTCTCAACCACATCAATTCCATACACCCGTCTATCATATTCACCATGGAAGTGGAAAATGATGGCAAGCTACCGTTCCTGGATGTTTTGATCAAGAAGAGACCTGATGGCTCGTTGTGACATTCGGTCGACAGGAAAGCCTGACTCCCACCACCATCCAGCCCAGAAGAATTCCCTCATCAAAACACTAAACCATAGGGCCCGTTGCATCTCCGACCAGCACCACCTAGCTAGTGAGTTGGAGCACGTACACCAAGCCCTCAGGGTGAACGGATACTCGTACCGTACAATCCGCAAAGCTGCCTCCCCAGCCATGGGGAGATAACCTTCTGAGGATCCAACCAAAACCATCACTTTACCATACATACAGTGAGGGAAAAAAGTATTTGATCCCCTGCTGATTTTGTACGTTTGCCCACTGACAAAGAAATGATCAGTCTATAATTTTAATGGTAGGTTTACTTGAATAGTGAGAGACAGAATAACAACAAAAAATATCCAGAAAAACGCATGTCAAAAATGTTATGAATTGATTTGCATTTTAATGAGGGAAATAAGTATTTGACCCCTCTGCAAAACATGACTTAGTACTTGGTGGCAACACCCTTGTTGGCAATCAGAGGTCAGACTTTTCTTGTAGTTGGCCACCAGGTTTGCACGCATCTCAGGAGGGATTTTGCCCCAATCCTCTTTGCAGATCTTCTCCAAGTCATTATGGTTTCGAGTCTGACGTTTGGCAACTCGAACCTTCAGCTTCCTCCACAGATTTTCTATGGGATTAAGGTCTGGAGACTGGTTAGGCCACTCCTGGACATTAATGTGCTTCTTTTTGAGCCACTCCTTTGTTGCCTTGGCCATGTGTTTTGGGTCATTGTCATGCTGGAATACCCATCCACGACTCATTTTCAATGCCCTGGCTGAGGGAAGGAGGTTCTCACCCAAGATTTGAAGGTACATGGCCCCGTCCATCGTCCCTTTGATGCGGTGAAGTTGTCCTGTCCCCTTAACAGAAAACACCCCCAAAGCATAATGTTTCCACCTCCATGTTTGACGGTGGGGATGGTGTTATTGGGGTCATAGGCAGCATTCGTCCTCCTCCAAACACGGCGAGTTGAGTTGATGCCAAAGAGCTCCATTTTGGTCTCATCTGACCACAACACTTTCACCCCGTTGTGCTCTGAATCATTCAGATGTTCATTGGCAAACTTCAGACGGGCATGTATATGTGCTTTCTTGAGCAAGGGGACCTTGCGGGCGCTGCAGGATTTCAGTCCTTCACGGCGTAGTGTGTTACCAATTGTTTTCTTGGTGACTATGGTCCCAGCTGCCTTGAGATCATTGACAAGATCCTCCCGTGTAGTTCTGGGCTGATTTCTCACCGTTCTCATGATAATTGCAACTCCACGAGGTGAGATCTTGCATGGAGCCCCAGGCCGAGGGAGATTGACAGTTCTTGTGTTTCTTCCATTTGCGAATAATCGCACCAACTGTTGTCACCTTCTCACCAAGCTGCTTGGCAATGGTCTTATAGCCCATTCCAGCCTTGTGTAGGTCTACAATCTTGTCCCTGACATCCTTGGAGAGCTCTTTGGTCTTGGCCATGGTGGAGAGTTTGGAATCTGATTGATTGATTGATTTCTTCTGTGGACAGGTGCCTTTTATACAGGTAACAAGCTGAGATTAGGAGCACTCCCTTTAAGAGTGTATTCCTAATCTCAGCTTGTTACCTGTATAAAATACACCTGGGAGCCAGAACTCTTTCTGATTGAGAGGGGGTCAAATACTTATTTCCCTAATTA